GTGGACGAAGTACCTGATCCAGAGCCAGAGGAAGTCGAAGTAGAGTTTGCGCCCGAAGTGCCAGTGCCGTTACCGCTGCCACTTCCACCAGTGAGCTGGAAGTTGGCACAAGTGAGCCGGGTGGTATTAGAGGTGTGGATGACGATCGACTTTGTGCCGACAAAGTACTGGCTGCTAGGGTCAGTGGAAAGGTACAGCTCTTTGTACGAAGTGGTAAAGGTCGAGGCCATGATGGCGCCGTGTTTGCCGGCGACGTCGCCAGTCTGGCAATTCTGCGGCGACGAGACGATGCAGGGGTAGTACTCGCCCACGTTGGTGACATCGAAGTGGGCGAGGGTGGACGTGCAGTTGCCGTCTGAAGGGACGGGGGAGTCGTGGATGTGGTACACGAAAGGTCCGTATTGGCTGACGTCCGGGAGGTTGGCGAAGTTGACGTTGATAGTCACACCGGTGTCGCCTTGGTTGGAGGAGATGCTGATGGTGCCGGAGGGGTTGGTGCCGGTCAGGCCATTGAAGGCTTGAGCAGGGAGAGTAGCGGCGTAGGTGGCTGAGGGAAGATTGCTCTGGACTTGGGCAGAGCCGCCCAGACCGACGTAGCTGGCATTGGGAGGACCTTTTGCGATGATGGCACCCTCGAGAGTCTCGACGCCGCTGAAGGGAGTAGGGAGGACGGGCAGGACGGCGGACTTGGTGGTGGTCAAGAGGACGGGAGGGGGCGGCGGAACACCTTGAGCTGCAGCGAGAGCTGCGCCGAGGGCAAGGCTGGCAACGGAGCGCATCTTGGCAGGTAAGTTGAAGTGATGGTAAGAACTTCAGGCGGACGGTATGAGGAATTAGAGAAGGTGAAATGGATGAGAAACAGGACGAGGAGCGCATGCAGGAGTGACGGAGCTCTTGTAGCAAATGTACCTGGGAATGCTGCGTGCCACAATGCATAGATACACGCCGTGGCTGCCTTCTACGCAGGACCTACCTCAGCTTGCGTTGTGGACGATCCATGGCGTGTGTTAGTTTATTGACAGTGACATCACCATATTGTGTGCCACGGTGCAATTCTCAGCGTCTCAGGCTAATGTGCTGCAGTCGTGAGGGGAGAAACACGCGAGGGTAGGGAGATTTGGAACACACCATGACGATGACAGAGTCGCGCTAGCGATATGGACCAGCGCGCCTTTGACGTGCTTTGGACGCTGCCCTGCATATGATTGATATTTGTGTTATGTCAATGCAGCCTGTCCGCCTGTTAGCCGCGCGACCATGGCGTTGAGCTACCGCGCGACCATGGCATTGAGCTATGCGAGAAGACGGCATCAACCACAGCGGAATGACGGAACATCTCGAGAAACTCCTTGGACCCGGTAGGAACGGGTCGACGGCATAGCGGGAGTCAGCGAGCATCAATGGATGTCGTCAAGACGTGTGGAGAACAGACATGCGAGATGGGAAGCTTTTGGGGGGGAGCATGCCGATAGCCGAAGTTGGGGGGTATGCGTGGCGCAGGAACCGGCGATTTGTGCGATCCTCTGTCAGATGCAAGCTTTGCGGGGTGGAAAGTTGGGTGCCAATCTGAATCTTGAGCTCCAAAGTCGATCTGGTTTGTCTCACTTGCAGCCACAATCGTGACAGAGCCGATCGATACCCTCCCATGGCTTCAGTCGCTTGCCTCTCTGGATTATTGAACATATCCATTCTATCTATCTTACAGCATCGTTATTAAGCTTGACGACCAAATCACGGCCAGCGCTGGCCGTCCTTCGTGCCGATTGGGCTTGGTACTCAATCAGAATTCACCACAAAATCGTCAGTGAAAAGGTCTTCTGCCGACGGTCGCTCTTCTGGGAGCCAACGCAGGATTCTGCGAAGAAAGGCTAGAACCATTTCCCTGTCCTTACCTTCGAGCCCTGTCAAGCGGCTTTCAAGAGATTGATCGGGAATAGGTGTCTTCGCGATCCAATTCCCTGTCATCGTCAGCAATTGCGAGCAGACTATAATGAGCAATTCTACCTTGCGAATCCCAATAGTAAGCCGCCTTGGGAGATCTCTTGAGGAACGGCTTCGGAGGTGGCCCGAGGATTGATACCATCTCGGCAAGATGCAACTCATCGTGGAGCATGCCATCTCGATGCCCATCAAATAGTGACTTTTCTTGTAACAAGTCCCAAACCTTGGCCAAGTCAGTCAGACCGGATGACAATAAGTCGCCTTGTACAGACTTACCGTGAGCGCAAGCGACCAGATATCAATCTTGGAATCCCATTCCATATTCATTATCACCTCGGGTGCCCTGTAAACTCCGGGCATGACATCGTCCGTATGCTTTAAGCCCAATCGAGCGGAGTCAAAGTCGCAAATGACCGGCAGTCCAGATGTGATGGGTATCTGATGAGAGCAATAGATCACTCTGTCGCTCAAGGTCTTACGGGCAGAAGGCTTATCTCTCTCGTCTTTCTCGACCTGAAAGTATACTGCAGGGTCCGCCACTCCAAGTAGGATGTTATTCGGCGAGATATCTAATAATGTCTCAGCAGGGTGCTATGCCGTTCGACTACAGCAAAATACGAACCTGTATGTACAGTCTCAGCTTGGTGCAAGAAGTCCAGTCCGATCAGAATGACCTGCACAGACTGCTGTACTACTTTCATATCAAGCGTTTTTCGCGGAAACATGTTTTGGAATTCCCGGAAGTTGAGTCCTAATGGCTCGAATATGAAGCATGTATGCGTGCCGTAAGGACTTTGCACTTCAAAATGATCCAAAGGAATACGCAGACATGGTTTCCCGGGGTGTGGTCCAGGATCTATGGATTTCAAGTGCTGTGAAATCAGCAGCTCATTATTCGATTTGTTCTTTGAGCCTTTATTGTGAGCGTTGCAGAGTTTGAGAGTCACCAAGGCATCCTTTCTGGGTGCGAACAAGAGTCAGTCGGTTTCGGTTGTTACAAAATCTGTAGCCCAGAATGATAACCTACTCCAAGTCCCGGCATAACCACACTGTAGAGCCTGTACCGAACCCAAGCTTCGCAATGATTCTGTAATTCTTGATCGTTTCGCCGATCCTCGCTGGGTAGAACCGCTCCGCTTTGTAATTAGGAAGGGTCTCTTCTTCGATTCTCATATCACGCGGTATCTCTGGCCATCCATCGGCCGGAACTATGTGTGCAGTGCTGGCGCCCCTGATAGCTTGGTCTGACGGTATCATGCTGTGAAGATTGCAGAAAGGCGATAATGTTCGATATGCTGAGCAGCAGTGGAATGGAAGAGCACTACGACGAAAACAACCCCCAGCTATTCGTCGCATACTTTTTTGCTTTTGGCTACGGCTAGTTCTAAGGTCAGAAGAGACTTGTCGGGCGCTAAGCGACTTGCTCAGGCAAGTTGGATCTTGACGCTATAAATGCCGCATGGATAAGGCTTGAACGATACAAGAGTCAGATACACGATTCCAATCTTTGCAAGTATTAACGTATTTCTGCCCGGAAGGCTGTATCCAGAACCGCGCGCGTACAAGTGAGCCTTAAGTTGGACCGGACTCCTGCATTGCTGTGCTCTATGTCGTTAATGGTGGTTGTGAGAACAAGTAGGCGGCGTAGTGGCGGTAAGGTGGAGTGGAGCGTCCCGCGTAGTTGTGGGACGTGCGGGCTTGTCACAACAACTTGATTGTCCACGCTCCACTGACCTAACAAATCCAGACTACGACCTCTAGCAGAACGCCGTCAATTTCCGGCTCCGATTGACGACATATTTTGTGATCGATTGGCCATATACGATTTCGAGCGTCTGCCGACTGTTTGATCCTTCAAACGCTACAGCATGTAAGGCCGGACAGGTCGGCCAGCGCCACGCCGTAGCGCTTAAGTGAATCAGTATCATAGCTTTGCTATTCGCGCACGACCGCCTTGGGAGAGCTTCAGACACAATCCTGAAGCTCAGCATCATCTCAAGGTAAGTCTGCGACTGTTACGACTCAAGGAAAGTACATATATAGCACTGTAGCCTCCCTTTTGTTGCAACCATTTCCATACACAATTGCCCATTCTCTAAATTATCATCTATCCAACATGCAAGGATCGAAGCAACTTCTCATGAAGTACGGCGGCTCCACTGCCCTAACAGCGCTGCCATCACGCTTCATGCAGACCGTGGACACGGCTTCGACGTCTATTGAGGCAAGGGTATGCGCATGACTGCTACCTCTAATTTTCACGGACTAACAGATTCAGAACCCACAAATTGTGGAGGCAAAAATCCAGTAAGCGCGAGTCGGGGTATAAGCAGGATGCTGACCGATGATACTGATGTGCTGCTACAGGGGCGCCCATCCGCACCAATCGGCCAAAGACAAGAATGACAAAAAGCCGGTCATCACTGTCAGTTACCACACAGAGAGGGGAACTCGTATCATGACAATCCATGCACATGACGATGGCACATGGACAGAATTCCCCCGTTCCCGCTGAGCAAGCATAGATATCTTCGATTAGAGACGCTGGCGGTCTTCTGTCTCGAGTGATCTTGTTTGTGTGGAATGAATGGGGTGCTGGGTGCTGGACATAGCATGTGTAGACCTATTCATGACCGATCATGGCAATGCAGGGTTGAATTTGTGCAGCTATTGGTAGCGAACGCTGATCAAAGATTTTCATAACATTGAGACTGGTGCCATAGTTTTTAGCTATGTCGCAATTGCATGCAACAGGTCTTGAGCTTTTTCTCACCTTATACAAGTTGCATGTGGCACGCTGCTCTTATTGCGAATGATGTCGTTGCGAAACAAGAATGAAAATTCTCAGGCGACCATACCTCCAATATTGGCCCTGGCCGCGTAGTTCCAGCACAAAACCCGGCATGCCAAGCGAATCCGCGCACAAGAACGAGCACGAGAACTTCAATGTGTGCGCTTCTGTCCACCAGCTAAAGAAAGACGAGCAGTCATCAGTCCGCTGAGAACTGAGTCCTCCGAAGGAAAATTGACAAAAAGAATAACACCCCAAGGGCTGATGCTTCCATTACGGGGAATCGAACCCCGGTCTCGTCGGTTATTTCGATCTTATGACCGATGAAAGCGACGGATGCTAGCCACTACACCATAATGGATTAGAACTCAGATGATCCGAGTAATTCCTGAGGTGGTTGTTGAAGCATGCTTTCATAATTGCGTATATATACTTGTAACCATTTTCTTTGTATCAAGAAATCCGGCCGCTTGCATACGCCCCTCTTCATGACGGTCGTCTTTGATGTTCTCTGTCGCAATTGAAGTTTTTCGACAAAACTGATTGTTGAATTTTGGGATGTCCCGACGAAGATTGCAACGAGGAAAATTTTGTTGGTGCGAGCGAGAGGAACTCCAGACCGAGATCGTGCTACATTGTCATCGTGATGCTTTATGTGGTTTCTTCAAGTGCTCGCCGATGTGGCTTTTGCGGAAGTCATCCCCCCACCTTTTTGACTACGACAGCTGTATCGACGAGACGCAAGTATCACAAATTTTGATCATGTCATCTAGGCAGTCTCCAGATTCGTTCTCTGCCATCGTATACACACGAGATTAGTATTCGCAAGAATTTCGATGACAATATATTACATATCTGTCGGCGCGACTACTGCACCGACCTGTCCAGTTACCCGGAGCGCTATTCACTATGTTCTACAGTACACACTAGGGTATCGTACAAATACACGAGAGAGTCAATCAACCCTCTCCACTTTTCTCGTCTCTCTTTTTCCCGCTCAGAACTTATCCGCCATGACGTCCCCACTATCATGCCTCTCTTCCGCCGTCGTCTCCTCTTCCTCCTCCACCTCACTGCAGTCTTCGAGATCGAGCTCCCGCCGGCGATAGTTATCATCATCATCACCATCGATACTCAACCCCAACCCTGTACCTGACGCTGACCTCGCTACGAAGTATTCCGTGCTACTGTAGCCGTACCCATAACTGGCTGGTCGTTCAGCAGTCTCGGCGCGGAGTGCTGGCACGCTATTGCTGCGGGTTACTATGGTGGAAGCCAGGCTGTTGAGTGAATATGGGTCCGGTGGTGGGTACGCGACACTGATAGATCGACCAATCGTCATGCCTGGCTTTTGCTCTGAGGTGACACCTAGCGCTTTCATGCTTCGGGCTGAGATGGCGCGAATGATAGCTGGCCGAGAGATACGGTCTTTCAGCGAAGACTCGGAATTACTTTGGTTGGTAGATCCGGTCGACATCATGCTTGAGCGGGTTATGGCGTACAGACAGGCGTCGACGAAGCCGGATGATGCTATCAAAGAACCAGCCGTCAGGACGTAGGAATCCGGTAGAAACTTGCCGTCATGGGCAAGCGACCACATTCGACCGGCCGAGAGAGGCAAGGTCAGGAAGATATACGCAACAGGGTAGAGAACCATGACTCGTGTGGCCTTGTCGACCTTTGCGTGGGTGGTGTTCCTGGCAGCACTCGACATCATCATGGATGATGTAGCTCTCATTGTGCGCCTTACATGGATCAGCACTGCCAAGTACATGACCAAAGTGGAGGCCTGTACGGCAAAGATCCAGACGTAATGTAGTGCCAGTCGTTCAGTTTCGTACAATGCCGATGCCCAACACCAGACACCAGCTCGCACGAAGTAAGTGCGACCATGAATGGCGGGTCCCAAGACGGTCAGGAGTAGACAAAATACCCAAGTACCAATTACAAGTGCCAGAAAGTGTTTATGCTCAAGTCTCCGTCCATTGACAGTGGAATGAAAGGTAAAGGCGGCGATGAGCAGGACGAAAAGCCCGGAGGCGACATCACCCAGGTTCAGAAGCCAACCTTGGGCGGTGCAAGCTGCGGTTGGAGCGAGGATTGCGTCGATATGTCTCCAATATAAGGAGAATACAAATGATGCAGCTTGAATGAGGTCCGCGAGTAGAAGGTTGATGAACAAGACAAGATATTGGTTCTACGTATGATTAGCGAGAGAAATAAGATGCAGAGAACGGTTCTGCTCACATATCCTATATATGACTTATAGTGTTTTTTCCAAGTGAAGAACCGTGATGCGAGAAAGATCAGCAATACGGATGTTGAAATGACGGATAATATGCCCATGACAGCTGGACCGAGGAGGCCATTGTGCACGAGTGGCGTCAACTTGGACGTGCTGAAGGGATATTGGAAGTAGGGCGAAGTGGCATTTGTGCGAAATGCGGAGCTATCAGATCCGGTGCCAGCACCAGTGAGAGGCATCTTGTTGGAATATGATTCAAGGAGAGGAGATGATGTGTTGGTGAGACTGGGCGTGCTTGCGCCCAGATAGTGTCAGGGCACGGTCAATAGCGCACGTCAGCCAGGACGAGGTCGGGAGCTTGAAATTGATCGCGATGTATGAAGTTGAGTACGTCGACAGTCTCCAGAGATGTCAGTCGGCCTGCATCGCTGTCTCCTTTTCGAACGAGGAACTGTCACGCACAACTTGGAGAGAGGGAGAAGCACGATCTAAGTTTGCGAACGAGGCACTATTATGAAAGATCGTCGGGGCTGCAAAGTGATGTAACCGTTGTCAAAGTCTTCCAGCCTGGCCGTTGCGCCCAACAGGCTCCACAGGAGTTTGCCCAATAGATTTTGGAACGGTAAAAAGACCGAATAATAATGCAGGGACAAAGAAATACTCGTGGCCATGAGCTAGGAAGCATGGAAGATCTACCATGAACCTCGTGCTCATGAGAAGACTCGAAGGAAGAAGAGGGAAATTGGACCTATCTTGATCATGGCAAATCGAGGTTGTGTCTTCCTGAGGACTACCGATCTCAGCTACACCGACCACGCGGGACAACTAGCGGCACATCCAGCTGAATGTCCAAAGCCGGCAGACAAAATCTGTACTGAGTGGAGTATGCGATGAGGTTGTGTGGAATAGAATAGGCCGGTTGGCCGCTGCTATTGGTATCGGCAACGGTCACCCGCATTTTTCGGGCTGATGTCAGAACGACACAGGCGGGCCCGGCCCGGGGCACCCAACGTTCGTCTTTGGAAAGGCTTTTGGTATTGGTCATCGTCGCAGTAACGTGGTTGCAGAGGGCTGTGACAAAGGCGCGTCTTTCATGGTGGACGAATGGGTGCCTTCATGTCGATATTGGGAACCGCGTGGGATCATCGTCATTGGAGTTCCACTCACCTCAGGTGAAACAATGCCACTCGTAATCATGCGGAGAAAATTGAGAATCGACAGGTGCTCCAGGTAGCAGATCGCTGGGTCAGCAACGGCAGGGAACAGGAGGAGAGCAGCCACAAGGCGGAGACGTTGAATTGGCGGCTTGACAGCCCAACGTCGGCCTGGACCCGAGCAACCATCCGTGGTTGATTTTTGGCAATGCGGGCCGAAATGGGGTTGGATTATCAACCACGCCATCAGCCTGGATCAAGCTCTACACTACCGATTAGTCGGCATCTTGCATAGTTTGGGATACATATAGACCAAAGGGGAGAAGTACATGATCCGTCCTGGTCCAGAATCCTATCGCTATGAATTGGTGGTATCTTATTCACTACATTTCCGAATGCTTATAGCACCCGGTCTCTGTCATGTCTGCGCCCAGCATCCCGCTCAATATCATCAAGCCGATTGCCACCCTCTTCTAGAGGTCCGGCAGCCTCTGGATCATCATTGCGTGCGGTCACGGCTTGTCGCTGTACCCCATCGATCAGGGATTCATCATCATCGTCATCGTAAGAGTCATATCGTTGTTCGTTCGCGTTGCCGCCTCCAGTCATACATCCCACCCGTGCGAGAGATCGGACCACATCGCCTTTGCATATCGGGCAGGTTCGCCGTCTTGTGGTCAACCATGGTGTTCTATATAGACGTTAGTCCTGTTCCTGCCCATTTTGCGGGATGAACACTCACATGCACTCCGCGTGAAATTCGTGGCCACACGGTAAGCTCATCACTTGACTGACTCCGTCGACGTACTCTTCCAAGCACACTACGCATTCACGTTGTCTACCTCCGTATTTGCGGCGCCACTCCATGAGTCCTGCCTCTCGTTTTTCTTGAATCTGGTCTAGACTCAAGTTCGCATTGTTCATGTTCGCAAAGCTTGAACTTGCCACAGGTACTTCTCCGGTCGTCCTAGATCGTGGTCGTTGCCCGATAGGTCTTGCGCTCGAGTGCAATAATGGTGTCGTCTGATCTGGCGTACGTGGCGTACTAGGAGGCGAAACTTGTGCACTACTCGTGGTCGCTGTTGAACTCGCAATTGTGTGGTATGTTCGCACTGGTAGTCGTTCCACAACTGATTTTGGTGCACGCCATCTACGGCGACGTATGCGTGACCGGAGTAATAGGAGCGCGTACACCACTGTAAGAGTCACCAGAGGTGAGACCACCAATACCAATAATGTATCGAAGAATGGTGATGTGGACATGGTCGTAGGTTGGAGTGTAACCCACAATCCCTCATGCGGCTTATTGATACCCTCCCTGGCTACCTGTGGTCGTAAGACGTCAGCAGCAGATGTTGATGGTCGGGAGATAGGCTTGTCCTTAGGTCTTTCATCTTGAGCACCAGACCCGAGTGATGTTTCCGATTGTGTGGGGTTTGTGGCGCGATCCGCTGATGGCTTCTGTCCTTTCTGTGCCGAAGAAGATTGCTTGGGTGTTATAACAGCGTGACCCTTGTATTTCCCACTGCCAGGTGTGTTGCTACCGCTTTTCGCACCAGTCTGATCTACCTTGGGCTTGGTGCCAGCTTCGACGCTACTACCCGACTTGTCCTCCAGCGGCTTTCCGAATTCGAAGAGATCAGGATCGCGCCAATCATGCACGCCTATTACGAAATCATCCGCCGCCGCATTCTTGCCCTTGCGAGGTGTTTGTTTCGAAGGCCTAGCGGTCTTGCTGCCAGGCTGAGGCTGCTCATTCAACTTTTTGCTGCCGTCTGTGGAGATGGTGGTGCCCTTGAACAAAGAACTGAACCAGCCAGAGCTTCCGCGTGGCTCCTTGCTCTTTGTTGGTTCGCCGACTTTGCCAGCTGAAGGGGACTTCGCCTTTGAAGAGGTCCCTTTGGGCGTTGTAAAGCTCGAGTCAGTCTGAAGCTGACTATCCTGTCCAAGGGCAAGACCAAG